GTATGTACTTGTATTCACGTTTTGCTACACTACTAATCTTCCTCATATATTTCTTTTATGACCTAAACCTTATTTTCATCTGTAATCCACGTCTTGTGAAGTGCAGACCTTCCAGCCAAAGCACTTTTCCATCGCCCGAGATCTTAGTTCAATTATTGTTAGCTGTATTCTCATAAAAAGTAGCCAAGTAGAATAAAAAGGAGAGCAGAGGAAATTAGTGAACTTCGATGCGTGAGGTTCGCAGCACTCAGAGATACGAGAAATACAAGACGAACTAATAGTCCAGTAAAACCGACAAAGATAGTGGAGGTTACGTTAGCTTAAATAGTGGTAAGAAAATAATAATAATAAATTAGTAAGTCAATTGGGCGGCATCATACTTCATCTGTATACTTATGGGTCAGTGGGTGCGTTAGCTGTTGGTAAATTATTAGAAAGCTCATATTTTTCTTCACCGAATATTTATCATCGGAAAAACGGGTAGTAATATTCCACATTTAAAACACTAATGTAGTAAAGTAAAGCCCGTTGAAAGTATATCTGTATTATATATACCGTACACAGTACAATAAAATCTTAATTCTCAGTATGACCTCTCACACTGAGAGAATCAGGCAGAACAAATTTAAGTCCGTATACTGTACCGTTATTTTGGAATAATTACTTGTGTATCTTCACAACAGATCCACAGGCTATTAACATCAGGGACCTTAGACGAGAGCACTGATACCAGCTTTGCAGCTACAGGCCTCCCGTCTGTACAAGTTCATCACTGTCTTTGACGGTGCAGTCTCGATAGTTTAGACAAACGTATAGTAATTACCATAGCTATGTGTTGAAATAAGCTATCGATTCATTCTTATCCTTTCTAAATTCTCCCTGTAGAAGAGGCGTCCTTTCTTTGGGAAAACCGACTACGTTGTGAGGTTTCACTATGTTGTGAAGATCGACTACGTTCGATAGCTAAACATCTGTACTAGCTAAGGAAAGTCCTGGCGTTAGGCGGATGTGTAGCTTCGTGCAAGGCACATTCACGCTCCGAATCGTATAATGCCTCGCAATACGCACATTGGAAGCATCCACTGAAATCTGCAAGCCCATTTTTGTGCGCTTCGAGATGGTTTCGAGCTCCCTCTTCATCGGTGAAGCATCGCCCACACACGGGGCAGGGATGCGCTGTCAGATGCGGATGGACGATTTCCATATGCCGTGTCATCTCAGCTACGTCGCCTGCCACCTGGTGACATTCAAGGCAGATCAGGTACAGCTGATGGGCGTTCTGCAGATGGCCACGGTAAAGAGGCAATTGGGTAAATGTCTCTCCACACATTTCACACTCGAACTGTTTCGTTGCCGTTGGAAGCAAAGACGATGGTTTAGCTACTGCCTTGGCAATAACCACCTTTGGTGAAGTTTTACCGGCTGCTTTTTGGACTGGCGATTTAGGTAAAACCAATGACAGTGGCGGTACAGTTGGTGTGAGCATCGATGTAAGCGTTGTTGCCGTCGTTTGCGGAGTTGATGTAGCTATCGGAGTAATCTGAAGTGTAGCGCCACCAAGCAGACGAATTTTTTTTGCAGGAACAGCTGGTTCTGGCGATAACGCAGGTCGGTTGTTATTGTGGACTTCCATATGCTTAACCAGTTGATATAAATTGGCGAAACTTTCTTTGCACATTGGACACGGATGACAGGTTACAGCCTGATGGTGACTCTGTTGCTGTAAATGGATGAAAGAATAAATCGAATGCCAGTTTACCTCGGACACATTCTTCTTACGTCAACAGCCCATTTACTAAGACAATCCGTTTTTCGGATTTTCTCGGTGTTTCGGGAAAAACAGGTTATACTCTCAATTGTTCGAATTTGATCCTAGCTGAGATTTAGAGATCTTCTCAAGTTGATTGAGTTGTAAATATAAGTTTACCATGCAGTTCTGCTTGAGCAACGTCAACATCCTTACGCTCCTATCCCGCAACCTACTTAAAATATATCTTCACCGCTCGCACAGCCAATTTTTTTGTTCAGCTAGAATGCAGGCTATCGAGGGTTAAGCCATTCACATGTATCTTCGTTACCGTAAAAGAAGCGTATGTAAGTTACCTTGCCTTTCTTTCATAGCACGAACCGGTATTAAGCCTACCTGTATTGAAGCTCGGTGATTGTGACTGTTGCTTCCGTTATGGCTAGGATGATGTTGGTGAGTCCGCATATGCTCGTTATAGCTGTTCATCGTCTCAAAGGTGAGACCGCAAAAGCAAGAGACGGCGTTTAAGGAGCGCTTTTCGAGGCGCCGCCTTAACTGAGGACTGGGATCTCCCAGTGTTTGGTTGTGCGCTCCCTCAACGTGATATTTCAGCACGTATTTGTTCTTAAACATCTTGTCGCAAAATGGACAGGGTAATCTACGGAAAGCAAGCATATTAGATGAGAAAATGTAGCTTTCTGTTCACTATTTTTTTCAAACACGGGAACATGATGTAGAGAATAACAGACTATTTTCAGCTGGTCATTTGCGGTTACTCAATACTGTTTAAATTTAATGGACTCGGAAATTAATCAAAATGTTGTAAAAATCAATTCGTAATGATTCCGGTTTTTTTTTTTTTTTAATGGATACGACAACGGCTGTTTTGGTTGTTCAGATGAGCTCCAGTGGTTAATTTTTTCAAGACTTTTTGCACCTTTTGAATTTTTTAGACGTCTTGAGCCCCTAGGATCCTCGGGACTTCGAGCCTGCCGTTGGCCCAAAATTTAATTCTGCTGGATTTTTGTACCGCGCGTATTTGCGCGGCACCTGCGTAGGTTACTACTGAATTGTTTTTTTACTGCTTAAGGAAAGAACATTTTGAAGGTGACTACTAGTAGGCGTTTTAGGTCCTAAATTGAAGCTGTAATCGAGGTAAACTGAGGATACATTGAATAAGCTTGCAGTGCAAACATACTTTCAAACAACAATTTCAGCAAGTACAAAAGCTGTTTAAAAAATTTTATTATCCCGATACAATCCTAAAAACCATTCAACAAAAAAGTTTTTATTTAGATGATGCGCCTGGTAGTTACATGTATATGATCTTTGGTATTTTTTATGATCCGTGGATTACGCTGACATTTCCAGCATACTTTTGTCAAGCCTGTATTCGGTTGGGTAGTGCTACCTTAATGCACGTTTAACATTAACTATATCTCGTGTAAAACCTTTAACATTGCAAAATCATTCTGCTACAGTTTTATCCGTTACAATTAAATAATTCATGAGATCAAGGAAACATTATTTGTTTACCAACATTTTTCCTAATGCAACACAAGAACGAGACCCATTTTGTCCTTGGAGGCGATACGGCTCCATGACATAAACGGTCATAAGGCCGTTTCGCCCCCTAGCATACCAGCGTATGATACTGTACCGCTATAATTATCTTTGCTCTAGCTAGTAGTTTTTTTTCCACTTGCTCATTAGTAGTTTTGAAAGAATTCAACGGGTAAGCGCGACGCATTTATAATAATTAAGCACCTACAAACCTTTTTTCCATGTGGCACTGCAGATGTATTTCCGTCAGGCTCTTGTGAGGAAATTGTTTATGGCAAACGCTGCAATAAAAAGGTCCAACGAGTCGCGTTTTTCCACGTTGATCGACGATTTCGCGTCCACCAAGGACTCGCGGCTCCGGCTTAGTCCCTCCCTGACCCGGACCCCCCTGGCGATCTCCACCAATTGATCCATCTACAGCTGTCACCGATATGGTTGCTATCGTGGCCACTGAGGGAGCCACCGCTGAAAAAGAAGATGCGTTCGCGGAGGCGGGTCCAGCAGGAGCCACAACAGACAGAAGTGGAGACAACGCTGCTGCAGCGGCTGCTGCAGAGGCTCCAGTCATTGTCTCCATGCCGGCAGTTGCTGCTGCTGCTGCTGTCGTTGCGGAACCACCGCCGTCGTCTGCCGAGGCCAAATACTGAAAATGAGAACACCCAAAATGACTATTTGCTAATGCTAGCGGCATGACCGCTACCATCGTTATCATCATCATCATCACTGCCAGTACGATGACGCTGCTGACGTCAAATATTTTGCTGCTACTGCTGCTAGTAAACTACGTTATAGAAGCAATGATGCGACTTAAGGCATGTCCGATTCACCTACAACTAGGCGTGGGACATCCAACGCATCTTAAAGAACGCCTTTCTGCAGTTGACGTTGTAAATTGAGCATTAAGGAAAATTTAAAACGTAATATATTAACATCACTTGCTCAATTCTGATAATGGAAGTTAATAATAAACACAAAAACAATATAATAATCCTCTGCGCAGACACTGTTGGTAATGAACCAGGAGGTCCATAGAAAGTAAAACTTTATTTCAGCAGTGGAGTAGTCCTGAGGAGGCCGCAATAACTATGGATAACTTTTGTGCAATCTGCGTACCAGAGTATATCATAACTTTAGATTCGTTTAAATTAAGTAAGTTAACTAGCGGCTACGTCAATTTGATGGTTTTATGAAACCACGAAACGTTAAAGGTGTACTTCAGTGAATCTCAAAGCATCTACGATTACCGCTCTCAAACATTTTTGGTTAATAACCGAATAAAGGATGTCGACATAGTGACCGTATTCATAAGTACGCGATTTCACCATTTTTGATCATTGAAAACGAACTTAAAACAAATACCGTCTGAATCATCATCGTCGTCGTCCTCGTCGTCGTCGTCGTCGTCGTCGTAATTTATTTATCTTACCAGTCGTCATCGAAATGGCAAAAATAAATATAGCCCCTTCTTACCAACGCAGTAGCTTATTATCAATTATTGCCAATATTAAGGTGCTTATTTTTCAATATGTATCACATACTTTAGCCATACTTTAGTTACAGTTAGCTTTGAATTCCGCTCAAAGTCTTTCAAATATTTTACCTAAATTTAACCATGTGTTCTGTCTAATTTCATTTTTTCATAGATATTATGATAGGTAATAGATCTTATGCCATTATCAGTCGACTAAGTAATTTTTCACTAGGCTCTTTTTTCGAATAATACCACTTCGTTCTCTGCTGCGTTATGTAGTTATACCATGTGCTCCATAACCGACCTGCTTCTTGGTTTCAATATATCAATCTTTGGTGATCCTTTGAACTACTTTTGTCTTATGCTTATATAGGTTTATAGACCTTCATGGAGGTATTTCGCCGCACTTCAATTTCTGGAATTTAGTTGAATATGTTCTTTAAAAAAGTGGATCTCATTCTTCCCATATGCTGCAAAATCAACCGGATTCAGCAAAGCAGGAGGACCAGAATTAACTGTAGGCACATACTATTTTTTTAACCGTGCCTCCGCTATGTATCAATAGAATTTTTTATTCTCATTGCGGTAGATTCACTACTTCTTTTCAACATATTGAATGTGGAACCGTTGAATTTCCGATTTAAAAACCAAGGGCCACTGGTTCTACTTTCGCAATAGGACATATGCCTCCAGCACACTAAGCCCATGAGCTGAGTACTGATAAGGTAGGCACATATTATTCAAAAGCGAGCAAAGTTCGTATGTTTTTCATGTATTTCCAGTATTGAAAACGGCCTTTGTGGTTATTTTTGGTGAACGAGCTTTATCCAACGAAAAGCATACGCTTAGGAGACTCGTTTCCATGTGTGAAAGCTGAGAAAGTTCTCGTGAGGTTCAGAATTGCAGGCCCTAACTAGCAACCCTACAAAGTTTGGTTGTCAATGTTGCTGGGCAGAGCTTAACTAATTTACATTAGACTAAAAACACTGAACGCTATCATAGCTAAAAAGAAAACGTTTTAGTTCTGCTTGAATCGATGTGGCACACAACGGCAACACCTGACGAAGAGCGCCAGTTGACAAATGCACTTTTCGCAGTGATCGGCTGTGCCCAACCGTCCCGCTGTTCAAAAATTACTGGCTACAAATAAAATATACTGCACATAGCAGCAGTGGCGTCTGCAGTGCCGTAAACATTGGCAAACCGGCACGTCTTTAAGTTTATCCATATTTTCCGCTATTGCTCAAGATAACTGAACTAAAGTTTGTATGTTAATGTCAAAGAATGTCAGTCTTAGTTATTTTCCCATGTGTATTTCACGCGTGTACACTCCTGCGTAATGGACGCATATTTAAGATTTCGGCCGCAAAGTCACACGCGTGAAGCGACAGATAACCGGTTTGCCATCGCTGGGTACCAATATGTCGTTAAAACCCAAAGCTTTGTGTTAAACAAATCATTACCATACACAGTCAATAGCTAAAAGTCTGAGAATACAAGCAGGTAAAACGCAGGTTATTGATTGGTCGAAATTTCACTGCGGATAATCAGCGCTAATATACTGTAATTTACATTAAAAAGCACATCTTGATGCGGCTGTTTATGTTGCCGAGAATTAGAAGACGCATCTCGAACCACGTAATATTGTTACACACAGACCAGCCCATGCGTTGAATTGCTTAGACATGCTGGTGAGATGGCTTACTAATCCGTTCGAACTAGCCATTGCACAGGTCTTAGGCCCACAAAATAGACGAGAATGATAGAATTTTTACGATGCAGCATATTTTTCGCTGGTTGACAGGTAACGAAGCAGCTTTCGATACCGCAAGTAACGTCCTCACATTTTTTCTACCGATTTATAGAGCGGTTCAGCCTTTTCCAATCGTTAGCGCTGACACAATTCGAGAAAAGCTGAAAAGTTCATTAATTGTGCTCACCCCCTATGGGCTCCAAAAGCTAGGAATTTGCTACAACAGGCTAGGAATTTTCGAACTGTCTGACGAGTCCAGTGCGGAAACTCACTCTAGTGCTCAAACGCACGGCGTTCCAAGTGTCTTCGAAATGAATATAGCGCTATCAATAATACAGTTGCTACGAAAAAGCTATTTAAAAATCCATAACTATAGTGCTTAACGTTTTCGAAGCGCCTGCTAGCACACCCACGATATCATTCTCTAGCGTACTATAACGTGCAGCAGAATTTCTACAAATGGAATAGGTCACAGGTTGTCCGGAAGCAAACAGTGATGCTTATGTTTCCCTTTCAATATCGACTAAGACTAAGGTGATATTGTGCAATCGTTACGGAACATCGACAAGCAAGATAAAGTACTTACAGCTGGACCCAAATCTGAATAATTATTTTTACGATAGAGTCGCTACCAACATAGCAATTCGATTTATCGAAACTGTTGGCCGACTCTGGGTCTATGGATGGACTAGGTTATTAAACAAGTACCTAGGAACCATAGACTTGTTAAAAAAAAGCTCAAGCCGTCCACAGCAACATCGGGTATCCTACACCGCGGATGTCGTAGGCAAACGCCTACAGCGCAAGCGTCTAAAGCAACTGTCCGTGTCAGGCTGGCGACAGTCACGCTCGACTGCCTCCACGTTCATCGGCACTACGGCCGTCACCACTGGCCTGGCAGCAGCAGTTCAGAGAGCAGTAGGAAATGCACACGGGCCGCACTGGAACCAACCCGACCCGCCACCCATCGGCCAATCGAGACGCCGATTTCATTAACTTCCACGTAAGGATGTAGTCGAGAGCACAAGCAGTAGCAGCAACAGCAATAGAGACTTCGATGGCTTCATAGTTATGCCTGCAGAAGGAACATTCTCAAAAATAACGTCGGCTATTTCTGACCCTGTAACCGCCCGCATGTTATAATTCTCTCTGTTAAACTTGAGAAAAGACTGATACGAAAGTGATAAATTCTACTGATTCCCTACAAATTGGAAACTAGCTCCGTTTATTCAATGGTTAAGAACAGAAGTTAGTGATAGGAAAAATGAAAAAAAGAACGATGAAAAAATTAGTGATTGGTGGAGTAATCTAATCAAAAAGGACATTTCACTCTTAATGGTACATATATACACGCACGTGGTGGCTCGAAAGTCTTTCTGCAGTCGGAGAAGCTTTATATTTATTGTTGAAATAGCAGGATATACGCACACGGTGAAGAGCGGATATGACTATTCAATACATTCAAGACATCCTAATTCATCTAGCGTGAAAACATAGAGGAGCTACAATGGTTCATCAAACTGGTTTTCTTTACAAATATGCAAATACCCTGTGATATGCTTATAAAATGGTACTATAATAGTGTGCGAATGATACTGGAGTGCACAGTTTAAATCCCCTCTCCGTTTCAGTAATTTGTGTATTTCCTGTTACCTTGACAGATGCGAAGCGAAGACTTTCCCACAGTCCAGAAACGCTTGGGCCATATATATATATATATATATACATGTGTGTGTGTGTGTAATGTTTGAATTATATTGCAAACATGTTATTAGTAAGGGTCTGCATTGGCATTTGGCGATATTTTCTACGCCCTAAACGCTTTTCCTGTTTTAATTGCATTCGCTAAGATAACTAATTTTAATTTTGAGTCATAAGTTGACTATGGCTTGGGGGAATGTTCAGGAAAATTCGCAATATACATATTCCGAAAGCGGGTTAAAAGTAAAGTAATTGTAGGCAACCATGGGGCCCTCCCGACGTGCATGCTGTTATCGCAGAAGCCACAAAAGTAAGCCTATAATAAAGTCTAATAATATAAACATAAAAGTCTGCCTACGTAAGTGTGGATATCCATTAGCATTTCTAGCACGAAATAAACTAGTTGATTCCATTATTTATTTTTCTTTTCAAAGAGTTGATCAATTATATTTTATCTTACGATATATTGATGTGGACCTTTTTGCGAGAAACACTTCTGATACTTAAAGCAGAAAGAGTGTCGATTACAATGTTAAAGAAAAAAAAAAAAAGAAACATGTAAAACTATCGTCGCGATAGAAAAAGATGCTCGCTCGATGGAAGCATGTAATATTGTGGGTCAATCATTACACATAAATACAGACTCGCTCTTTGCATCAAGCACAATTAAAAGAAATGCTTACGCCCATAATTTAAAATAGAAACCTTCTTAATATTTTAACACCATTATCTAAAGTCACCATCTGCAATAGCATTTCGTAAGTTTAATATCTCTATCCTTTTCTTAACTATGTAAACGTCAGACAGGCGGCGACGTTTTGCACGCGAAAATATCCATCATAAGCGACCCGCTTTTTTTTTTTTATTTATTCACGATACTTACAGCGCGTCGTAGAAAATAAAAACTTCCATGAACGTAATGTAACAGCCAGCATTCAATACACGACTGATTGTGCAATCAAGTTCATTATTATTATCATCAGTAGTAGTAGTAGTACCATGATAATAGATAGCACTACTGCTACGTGCATTTCAATGCGGTTGTACGTAGGCTAAGCCAGAACAAAAACGAGCATCATTCTTTCACTAGCTTGCCGGATCACTCGGTCGTTTGTTCATGTGGGGTTCAAATCGACACCCGAAGCAATGGCTTGTTTTAGGGCCGCTGTCACAACTTTCGGCTTCAAGCTTCAGCTGCTGTTGGTATCACGCCCGAAAAGCAGCAGCTCCAGTGAATAGCCGCATCGTTATGGTGGTGGTCGTCTGTCGATCTCACCAGATTAGCCAGTCAGCCTCGCACAATCCAAGGTCCAACCCCTTCTTTCAAATAAACTAACATCGGCAGGTGTGCAGTTTGTAAGAACTATTTGGCCATAAGCGATATAATACTGCAAACCATGCTTTCTCCTTGGACATAAAAGTATTTCCCGCGGACTTTATATATGGTAATATATGATTATTAATTAGTTCTAAAAGACCTTAACGTGCAGGACGATGAACTGAGATATTTACTTCAACTTTTCCAACAAACATTTTTGACACATCTTAGTTGTTTTCATTGACACCAAAAAGGGGGCATTTAGACAAATATATTCCTATGACCTTATCGAAGGAAACGATCCATGTGAATCAACACATATGCCGATTTCTTTTTTCGTCTGCTATGTGATAGCTCATGAAAGAGTACCAATGCAATGCGACACATGCCAAGCAGTGAATTTTCCATACCTTCCTAGGATAATGTAAAACATCATTTTTCCGAATCGGATCCAACGCTTTAATAAATCTAGAAAAGCGTGATAGCTAACTCATATCCACCCACGACCACATTAATATAATCAAAGACACTCTCAAAAATACGAAAAGAAAACAGCAAATGCAGTATATCCAATACTGAATGAAAGTGGATTCCGTCTTTTGTAATAGTTTCTTACTAGCGTGTGCCTACGCCACCGTGCTACCTACCTTTAAATGAATTATGCAGTAGCGAAGGAGACGATCAGGCATCCATTTTAACATGGCTTTATAAAGTATGGAAGCTTTTATATATGAGAGCTTGTACGTGTCAACTAGGCTTGCATGAGCAGTCTCAAGTAAAAGTTGTCGCCACAGAGTGATCAAAATCAATTATCACAAGCAACGTTTATCATATTCTTGTCCCAATTTGGAATTAACTATGCGCAATTCCACCATCGAGACAACAAACCAGACATAATAGCTGAGACTAAAAACATTTTTTAAAATCAGCGCCTTGTGATGTAAGCGGCATTGAATATTTTAGGGAAGCGCTCTTTTCCATATATGCACAATAACTGTAAGCCTATCAAACGAGATAGCGAAAATGTCTTTAATATATCTAAATAAGCGGTCGGTGTTAGGATTCGGAAAAAGGCAATTAGGCCCGAGGAAGCCTGCAGTTATGTTCAGCATTTTATACTGCGTAATGAAACAGCGAGTCTGCAAATATATTTTTAATTACAAGCGGGGAAATCGGCATGTTAGGTATGTATCATTTGAATAAATCATCCTTGAAAGCACTACACAATACATAAGTAACAACGTTATTTTCACGAGCATTAGGTTGAAGAAAGTTTTTTGCTGCACACAAGACACCACACTTTTCCTTCTTGTAACATTAAGTTATTATGTTATGTGTCCCTCATCATTGTCTACGACTTGTTACCATCTTTCTATTAGATGATATACCCCGCTTCGCTAGACGGTGACGGGTTTCGTTTCAAAGAAGCTTCCGAATCATTGTTAATCCGCGCTGAAAGTTTGGTTACGAAAGTGAACGAAAAAGATGAAAATCCTGTGCCGGAAGGCTCAGAGAATATGAAGGGTGCGCTGAAATCTCCCGTTCAAATTTCAGAAGAGCAGCTTTGACGATGTCTTCCGCGTGCCCCCTTGCGTTTTCATAGAGCAGGATGGCCTAACCTCGCTTATCGGATTTTTTCTCTTAAATAACCTAATTGATTTGATGCAACTGGTCCAAATAAACGTGCCGATCACCCGTTTCGCTCGTGACAGGCAATCCCCAGTTAATGAGGTTTTTGCAGCCCTACCAAACGCAAAGCTTAATCTCTCTTGGATGAAGGTCTCCTTGGGTCCTGAGTCTTGACATCTTTCTTAGAGTCATTTCGATTTCGAATTCATGTTGACATACAGATACTACTCCTCGCCACGAGTGACAATTCTGTGCAAAAATCAGCTCAATACCGGGCAAACCGTTGTGGTGGTCATCGTCAAACTCAAACGGTCGGCCGGACACCCTTAGTCCCAGGTATCGTTTTCAGGTTTGACAAACCACTCTTAAGCGTCTCTTATAATGAAGCTAGTGCTTACCAAATTGAATTTGCATTCAGGACACGGTACCGTTACAACGGTCTGATTGGGTAGAACCCTTTCGAACGCTGTATAAACAGAAGGAAAATGCAAAAATGATTTGGTTAAGCATAGCAGCTTGCTCCTGTACCTTACAGTGCTATGCTGTGACCTAACGCATGCCGGAAACTACTTCATGTAGCATAAATTTCCTTTTAATGATCGAACAATGCTTAGCGTCGGATAATACCCAGGGTTCTGTTGCGTTCCTATAATCTGCGAGCACGTTGCGCAAGTTGCTGTTTTAACTGGAGAAAACCGAGAGATTAATCCATTTATACCAATGGGCGTTAGAAGTGACTAAAAACATGCTTGAAGAGAAAAAATTATATTCTTTATGATATTTACTTTTATGTCATGGTTTGCCGATAGTCTAGATAGAGAAACTGATAAGAAAATGAAAAGAAACAAGATGAATTCGAGATAGAAAGATAAAATCGCATATAGGTAAGAGTCTATACGATAGATAACTGTAGGTCGTTATTCAGCACACTGCTAAGCCTTTCATTTAACCTAGCGATAGATGACCTTCTTGAAATAGGATTTCAGTATTATTATTAATATTATTATGTGTTGCATTATAAATCGCTGCGACTTGGCAAAACAATTGATTCGGGCTTCTGCTGCCAACAACTAACAAGATCACAGCAACCATTGTAGAAATGACCGGTACTAGTGAAAAGATGAAGCGTTGTATTCCACCATGACAATGCCAAACCACATGTACCTTTAGCTATTCGGCAAAAACTGAGAAAAGTTGAATAGGAAATCTTAATCTGTCCGCTGTATAGTTCAGATTTTGCTCTTTCAGACTATCATCTGTTTCGGTCTTTGCAGGATTCCCTTTAATGGAGATAAATGGAAACCACCTGTCACAATTTTTCGCCTAGAAACAATAATGGGCCTGCCGACTTGAGAAATAGCTGAAAATCATCGATGAAAATGGCCCACACCTAATTGGCTAATGTTATTTGCAAATATAACAAATACTTGCTTCAATTTTGGCTTAAAAACGGTCAATACTCTTTCGATCAACCCAATATTTCTTAAACGAAATCTCAGGATACCCTATAACAGTACCTGAAGTCGGGCCGCGTCCACGACATACAAAGACACGACATCGATATTAAAGTACCAACTAGTTAGTCTAGCACTCGGCTTTTTCCATCGTGATTTCACATCTAAAATCATAAGACTTCACTACTAATGCCGGTGCCACGATAGCGCGCGCGACAGCAGCGCTCTACTATAAAGGACAAGAAAAAATAAGAAACGGCGAAAAACATACAAATGCGCCAACAGTTTTAGATCCGCTACAACGCCTCCGTGACCATGTTAGTCACTGCTGCTGCTGATGATAAAGCTAGAAACTGAATCGTTCGAACACCGTGATAGCTACAGAACTCATAATGAACATGTTGCTATGCGAATTGGGAAAAGAAGACAGGCAATAAAGTGACTTCAATTATGCAAATTGCAGGGGTTACACAGCAGCGACAACGGACTGTCAGCCCACTACCGACGGTTGTGTGGTAAGGCAAATGAATATCATACATAGCAACAACGACAAAAACAACAATGCAGTTCGTAGTTATGCCGATAGCTACAATACTGTTACGACACCCCCCACCCCCCATGCTTGTTTCATCGTTACTATTATCATCGCCATCATCACAATCATCGTGACTGTCCTATTCCGGGACGATAGTGATAAGGACGCTGCTATAATCTATTGCCGTTGTTGGCATTGCCATTCTGCTTCTACTGAAGGAAACATGAAAAGCAGCAGCGCCTGGCACGGTTTCGGCCGTGGGATTTGTTCAAAGTTCCCTCGAAGCGAAAAAGAGAAGCGAAGTAAAACGAGCTCATGAAATAGACCTAGCCAGTTACAGCTTACGCCGATGCCACTGTATCGTTATCTATTATACTGAAATAACTTCCAAGAATGACAACGATCTTGTGCACGTCCAACTAGAAGAATTCTACTAATTCATGTCAAGGTTAAGGTTAACCTGATGAACACCTGCTCCTAATGAGGTATACCGCAACTTTAAGTCTAGCAACCGGTCATTTTCAATCACAAAGTCCAAACATCAAAACCAAAACCTAAATCGCCGCATACAGAGATGCCTGACACTGAGAATACCTGATATTTTAAGTGCTACATTAGACAAAGGACCACATGAACATGGTTAGACTTCTATAAAGATTACATGCACTGTAGTAGCGCCTCATTCGACATCACAACGTGGTAATCTGAGAATATATAACCGTAATATAATCAGATGCAACATAAAACAAATTGCACGTACGCTTCCATACAAAAAAAAAAACTCAAGTGGACCTAAACAACATTTGCGTGCTAGCGTACATGTAGCGCCAAATAGCGCATTATATTACAATGAAAAAAACGTGAAGCTCATATATATATATATATATATATATATATATATACACACACACATATAAAAAAGAATAAAAAGTAAAATATGTACATAAATTTATTCTACCTGCATCTTACTCCCCGACTGTATCTGCGTCCGTACATTTTGCTTCTGCGGCATACACTACAACCCTCTCCTTTACAGTCCGTCTCTCTCTGTCCTTCTCTCTCTTTTCCAATATATATATATATATATATATATATATATATATATATATATATATATATAAATGCGAGTAACGCCGCACATCGGTCAGACTCTAGAGAAACGATATATCCAAAACAGGGTCACATCCTATTATAAACAGTCAACCGCTATCGAGCATAACACATACGTGTACAGGCAAACACACACACACACCCAGGACAGACACAGACACAGATCGTTCACCGTGCAACAAGCACACATTCATGATACCCATGGTTGTAGAAGTGCTCGAAATATTACTCTACCAGCACACTCTCTTCCGTTCTACGCCTATGAGAAGTTAAACTGAACGGTGCATCAAATAGAGAACAAAAAATAGAGACCGCGTTCTGGTTTTACGGATTTTGTTATGGTTTTTTTGAGTAGTCGCGGGACGGGGTAGATGTATAATAGTTCAATCTATGTAGCATTGTAAAACCGCCCCTTGCCCACAAGAGAGACTATCGTCGGACTAATTCAGAAAAATGCGGCTGATTCTATAAGATAATCTTGGCACTTTCCTTAACGAGAAAGACTTTGAAGTACCCACAATCACATCGACATCCTTGTAAAAGTAGATTTTAGAAAATAAAACTACGACACTGGTGATAGCGTACTGTTTTCCTCCTAATTAACGAAGATAGGCAGATTTTAGGTCAAATTGACAACAACTATTTAATCGCATATCAAATAAGAAAGTATCTAGGTATACGTTAATTGATTAGTAGTTTCAAATAGTATTCAGTAGCAAAATAATCAAGCAGATTGGATGAACACATTTAACAGACAGACGAATTTTTTTGGTAAAACGTATTGCGCGCTAGACTGTGTGACGTTTCTTAAGGTTTTGAATCAAAAGCTGACGGTGTAGTGTCAGTATTCATTTGTACTAACTAAATAGTAAGTTGAGCAATCGGTAATCGAAAAGTTGATATTCTCTGCATCCTACAACTATTTATTGCCCAAACGTCCGAGGGCAAATGCAACTGAGAAAAGGCACGTACGGATGTATCACTTCACAGCTAACTTAACAGACCAATCTAACACCACAAATTAGATAATAAGATTAACCAAATAAACATATTATGCTTTTCTTATCAAAGTTAAGTTATCTAAAAAGAATATGATGCATCATGCTAACGAGGACAAAATCTTTGAAGAAAGTGCATGAGACACTGTATCGGTTCGACATAAGGCTTGTGCCGTGTCCATGCAAAAACATATTAACAGCCGACGTAGCCACAGAC